ATGCGACTACTGAACTACTCCATCTTAATCTCCAAAACAACAAAGTGCAAGCCGCCATGTTGTTAAATAAGAAAATGTTTCGTTTCTAAAATAGCAATTCCTGCTTTTGAATACATTAACTTGAAATATTTGACCCTAAAAACACGCGGAAACAATTTTTCGACTGCGAATGAATTATTCTCATTTTACTAAAAAAAAAATTCAAGAAAATTTTTAAAACTTCTTTAATTTTAAGGCCCATTAGTATTTTTCAAAGTAGAAACAATACATTTATCAATAAAGTTGTTTGCGTTTAACTTTTTTGCCTTGGGTAACGAGTTACAGAGTCGGTTAAAGTGTTTCAATAATTATGATCTTCAAACATCCTCCACACTTAAATATTTTTGTTTTGTTTTCCTTCACTGCCATCTGACATATGTCTCTAACTAAACCATAAAATAATATTTTTACTATAATTATCCCAATTTAGGATAAAACGCGACTTAGACGCCATATTAGTTTTGTATTTCTGTGAATTAGGATTTTAAACAACGTTGCAGATTGTACTAAATTAGGCTTCTAGCCAACGTCGGTATCCAACGTCGTTTCGACCCAAAAATTATTCTCCAAACTAGTGCAGACTAGGGTTGGCACGAGGTTGTGCCGACGTTGCGCCCCGACGTTTGGTCGCGTGACACAACGTTGTCCCGACGTCCAAATGCTGCTTGGGGGGGGATTCCGTTTACGGCTTGGTCATTAAAAATAAGTGAAACAAACAGGTTACTTGTTAGATTTCTTTCTGGCGTATGTGCATAAGTGAAGAAAAGCGTTTAACTAGTGGACAATTTCGTCAAATAAACTGCCGGACATATGTAATTATCGGGACAAGCAAAATTTTAGGGTAAATTTAAAGTTGTATAGGTATCTCTTGAACTAAAAAAGATTTTAGGATGCGGTTTGGACCAGGTTTTAGATGCATCTATTGTGATTAAGATGCTATATGGGTTTCGAAAATATATATAGCGAATTCTCGTATACAGGGTGTTTCAAGAATTTTTTTTACCGCAAATTTATAATTTTTAAAAAATCGAAATTTTTACCAAGTATGGCAAATCTGTATTGAAATTAGAAAAAACAATTTGATAAGTTTTTTAGTCATACGTATGGTCCTAAATGGTACAAAAAGCTTTGTACATTTTGCATAATATGCCAAAAAATTATTGATATAGAGTGTATCTAAAAGCAGATAACTAACACATGTTAAAAAAAACATCAGAATAATATTTTTATTTATAAAATAAGTAGATAAATTATAATAAAATTTAAGTTTATTTAATATTAAATATATTTTTTAAACACCCTGTATACATCGGTCCAAATTTCTGTATAGCTAGTTTAAGATACACCCTATATCAATATATCGTGGGCCTATGCAAAATGTACAATACCTTTTGTACAATTTAGGACCAAATGTATGACTATTGTTTACAGTCCCGCAATTTTGCGGATCCGCGGGATTGACTGCTTTAATCCCGCGGGTTTGCGGGATTGAGATTTTGGTGCGGGATTGCATTCCCTATTTGTGACAAGTTTGTTTTGTACTATATTTAAAATTTTCTTTTTTTACATTTTGTGTTTGACATGTCCAATTTTTGTTCGTATTCTTATTATTAGTATATTTACAGCTGTGATAATAACATGTTATTTTATGTGTACTAGAGCCATACACTAAATAAATAAATATATGTATACTAAATTCTATAATGCATATTAAGATTTAAAATTAATTTTGCAACAGAAGCTCGTCTTATCCGCATTAAAAAATATAAGTTATTAAAACGAATTAAGAATCCAAGTATTTCCAGTTGTCTTCTTTCTGTTCTTTCTATTTATATTCCATAATTTCTAGAATCGGATTGTTTACAAACAGGGTTCTAAACAATTTTATTTAAAATCCTCCCTTTTTTAGATAATAGAAAATATTTATACACCATTGCATTTGAATTTAAAATGTGCTTGTGAAATAATAAGATTGTTAATTTTTGGCTCTACCATATAATTGTCAAGACTTCATACCTATTTGTTCTGTCTTAGTGTATTCTAATGATGACATTAAAACATTGAAACTTAATAAAATCTATAAATATATGCGGTTTTCTCAAGATAATCCCGTTAGATGTACAGGTGAATACTTATTTACTTATTTTATAAACAATCCATTAAATCATTCTTTACATCTGTCTATGAACTAAGAACATGTTCTGTAATGTCAAGGTTTTCCTGATCTTTTTCATCTATAGAACAGCATTACAAATGATAATTTCAGTCTTCTGTTAATGAGATTCTGTAATAGATTTTAGTCTAAATTTCACAAATTTGTTTATATTGTATACTAAATAAACATCTTCGTTGTGTTTTGTTAATTATTTACATAGATTATCACATATAATTAGATTGAAAACGCTAAAATATGTATTCACTAATTGGTTTAAATATACTACAGAAGTGTTATTTGCATTATGATGAGATTTTTAATAGTAATAATAATCATGTGTAAATTGGCTACATTTTAGCCAATTTATTTATTAGTATATTTTTTAAAAAAATGTCACTTAGATCGACAAAACATCTATTACACTTTTATGTTTGTATTAAACACCATAAGAATTATTTGAAAAATGTCTTCCATAATTCATGACACAATTATAAAAATAATGAACTGAAACATATTAACTATAAGAAGAAAAATTATAGATTCAGTTTTAAATTTATTAAAAATACATACATTCATTGGGTTAGAATTAGTTGATATTTTTAGTAAAATCCAAGATTTAGCAACATTCCTAAAATCCTTAAAATAAAATATAAAATAATAGTGAATTGCCGGTAACAAAGAGTGATTTTTTAGCTCAATGAAATAGAAATAAACAGATGGCACAGGCTGATGCCGGCAATATAAAGCTATCTTTTACTTACTTAAAAAAAACGACACACGCATATGAATGCATATAAACTACATAACGTACCGTTTCTGTACGTTCACTTCCCTTAATGACCATTGCGAAATAATGAAAATTGCGAAATCTGGCTATCTAATGAAAATGTAAGCAAATGTGCAAAGTATATTATATAGCTTTTTCTTTCTTACTTCCAATAACAGAGTGAGATTATTATAGTACCCAGGGCGTGCAGTGCGTGCACGCACGTAGGCGCAACATTTTGGGGGCGCAAAATCAAAAGGTCAATCAGTACTTTGTAACAAAAAACCGATACGCTTTCTTGCCAATAAACAAATACTTAAACCATCATAGGATAAAGTTTGCTTAGCGTCTTTTTTGCGTTGGCCGCACCGAATAAACAAGTCTAGAGCAATCTGTCGGCAACACATTGATCTCATCTATTTATTTTTCATTTTATTCATTTTATGGAAATCACTGTTCATTCAAATGTTGTATCCTATCTTATAGGGCTTTTTTCTCTCTACAATTTCCTGTCTCACAATGTACCGTTTGTGTCCGGGAAGGGTTCATAGTTTTATAGTTGTCGATTTTCGAAAGAAATCAGTACATGTATATTATTTCGTATATTTCTCATTTTATTGATTTTATAGAAAGCACTGTTCATTAAAATGTTGTATCCTATGTTATAGGGCTCGTTTCTCTCTACAATTTCCTGTCTCACAATGTACTGTTTGTGTCGATTGATAGTTTCATAGTTGTCGATTTTCGAAAGAAATCAGTACATGTATATTATTTCGTATATTTTTCATTTTATTGATACTATGGAAAGCACTGTTTATTAAAATGTTGTATCCTATGTTATAGGGCTTGTTTCTCTCTACAATTTCCTGTCTCACAATGTACTGTTTGTGTCGGAAAAGGGACCATAGTTACATAGTTGTCGATTTTCGAAAGAAATCAGTACATGTATATTATTTCGTATATTTCTCATTTTATTGATTTTATAGAAAGCACTGTTCATTAAAATGTTGTATCCTATGTTATAGGGCTCGTTTCTCTCTACAATTTCCTGTCTCACAATGTACTGTTTGTGTCGATTGATAGTTTCATAGTTGTCGATTTTCGAAAGAAATCAGTACATGTATATTATTTCGTATTTTTTTCATTTTATTGATTTTATGGAAAGCACTGTTCATTAAAATGTTGTATCCTATGTTATAGGGCTTGTTTCTCTCTACAATTTCCTGTCTCACAATGTACTGTTTGTGTCGGGGAAGGGACCATAGTTACATAGTTGTCGATTTTCGAAAGAAATCAGTACATGTGTATTATTTCCGAATTTTAGTTTATTGTTTTTATGTATTTCATATAAAATGGGTCAGTTTTTTTCTTTAGGGTACTATTTTTGTTACTAAATATTTGTGGTTTTGTTTGTTTTATTTATTTAATAAATGTTTTTATACGTTAATTAGAATAGTTTTTTTACATTTCCAATTACATATTGCTCGTTTGTCGCAGAATATAAATTCTTTAAATTTTTGAGATTAAGATTAAAATATATAATTGATAATATAAAAAGGGCGCACCAAAGAATGCTGCACGTAGGCGCCATATACCCCAGGAACGGGCCTGATAGTACCCTTTTAAGCATACGACCGCGAAGATAATTTAAATGATATTAATATGAATCTATAAACCAGAGATCCAGTGTAGACCCAACTGCATCCATTTATGTCCAAAAAGTCATTTAATGAGACTCTGTCTTTAAAGGACACTACACGCAATGATACCTGAGGGATTTGAACTGTCCTGTACAGATAAAGATCTCATCGAAGAGAGGAGACCTGTGATCTTTAAACATGCTGAATACCTTTAACTACACAGACCACGGATTTGGCAGGAACTGTATACTAGACTATAGACTGACGAAATTATCTTTTATAAAATCAAGACGTGTAATGTGAAAAGAACGCTATCGTTTTGGTCTTAACATTTGGCATGCAGATCAAATCGTTGCGTGTATAGGGCCTTTTTTATTTTCTATAATTACGTAATACTTACAGAATCCACTGAATGTGATAAACCCGGCAACCATCAGTACCGGATGAAGATTGAACTGCTTGGCTGGATTTTCTCTCCAAGCGAATCCACCTCGGTATTGAAACACCCAGAACAAGGTCAATCCCAAGGAACCCAGTAATAGTACGCTGGCCAAAACGACGACCACCGTGTATTCAAGCCAGCTGCCACAGCTCCATTCGTTTTCATCTTCGTAGTGTCGATGTCTAGAACAATAAGAAAAATGCTATTAGTAACAATATTTCAATTATTATTATTAATCAACTATACTAATATATAAAATCCTTAAGTGACTGACTCACTGATTAATCACGATCCTGCTCAAAACGTAAGAAGCTCAATTTTGGCATACAGGTTGATTCTAGGGTGTAGAGGTTCGATAAGAAGGGATTTTTCGAAATTCCAGTTCCAAGGGGGTGAAACCACCCCTCAAATATTACAATATTTTTTATTTAAAAAATGGTCAAGTTGCCAATAAAACGCTTAAACAAGTATATGTTATTTTGTTTTTTACATATTTTAAGATTTTTTAAAAACGTCCACAGGGTGTTTCAGAAAATCTGGTCAATGATTAATCACGGTGCTGCTTAAAGCGCTTGACGTAAAAAGCTGATTTTTGGAAAACGGATTGACTTTAGGGAGTAAAAAGTCGATAAGAACGGATTTTCCAAAACTCGAATTCTAAGGGGGTGAAACCACACCTCAAATATTAAAATATTTATTATTTAAAAACCGGTGAGTTTTTCCGAAAAACTCTTAAACACGTATATTTTATTTTGTTGTTTTACATACTTTAAGATATTTTAAAAATTTATACAGGATGTTTCATAAAATATGACCATTGAGTAATAACCATAAACCAATATTCTATCAGGCTGATAACTAGCCAATAAATAAATATTAATAATTATTAACACAGTAAGTTTTGTTGATGTAATCATATAACAATACTTATAAATAAACCTGAGCAATCTAACAATAATAAATATATTTGTACAAATATAAATATAATGTTTAAATAATAAAATTTGATATTTAACTTACTTTTCAGCCTCTTGTGTAATCAAACTGAAATATTAAAATATATACATGATAAATCACTTAATTTAAATCACTCGTATAAAAGAAAAATTGAAACTAACTGCTTCAGAGAGTTATGACACTAAGAATTATTAGCGCTAATTAACACAGTAAAAGCACTTGAAAACTCTTAAGTTTCATAATAGGCGTTATGTGACAGAAAATTAAGCATTAAAGCTGTATTTAACTTCCGGATAATAGGGATATGAAATTGATTAAGATAATTGATATTTTAGAGTGTGCTTCTGATGGCTCGTTAAGAATATGAAGGGAGTGAAAGTAAAATTGCTATCAATATCAGTTTTTTATTGAAAAATGATTTTGTATGTTAATTTTCGCATGAAGATAGGTAGGCTTATAATGCGAAGAAAACTAAGTTTATGGAGTGATCAGATATTTTGAGAAGGGAAGATACAAATAAATTCTGAGAGAGGGAATCGATACAAGTTTGAGGAAGTATTCGTAAGGAAACGAAATGAAACCCAGGAAATTGTGTCAAGAATATGTTTAGTTTAAAGGTCAGAATGTATCAAACAATGATACGACCAATAGTACTATAATAAGGGCTGGCAAAGGTTAGTCTTGGGTCGAGATTTCCGTATGTAAGAAGAGTACAATGCGTGTATAATGTACTGAACAAAGAGGGAACAGTAAACACGTTGCCAAACGTATGAAATAAACCGAGAAACTGTGCACATTGCTAAGAGTCGTGGAAGGGGATATAGCAGATTTGTCGCAGTCGACCGGTTGACCCAATCAGTACCTCTGTTAGTACTTAAAGTTCAAGGAAAAGGTATACATCATGGGTTCAGCTTCACGATTTAATTACGTCTCGTGATACTTTATTTGTTTATTTATTAACGAGTTGTTGTAATTTTCCCTATAGCTTGAAAATGTTTAAGTGCAAGTTAGAAACACTTGCATTTTTGGTAAAAATAAGTGGAATTGAGTTGGTGTTCGACAGTGGTCGCGCTATTAGAACTCTGAATTCAAAAATCGATATCTCGAAATCTATTAGAAATAATTGATTGTAGTTTTTCAAAAACTTTCTTCGCAGACAGTATGCAAAAATCTTTATAAATAAACAAGTTACATGATTGCTAAAAACTGCTATGCACTAAAAGTAAACGGATGGGTTGTTTAATTTTTAGAATGGAAAAATTCGAATTTTTCTTATGTAAACATACTGTAAATGATCCGACCTTCAAAATAAAAAAAAACTTCAAGATCTAAAGTGGTTCTTAAGTTATGGTGTGTTATGTGTAAAAAAGTTCAGTTTTTAAATTATCGCGATTACTGACGTTTTCTCGTTATAAAAAAATGGACACCCTCCTAAGGATATCCTTATAATTCCATTTCAGATGCTCAGAAATATATCTAATAATTTTATTTAGTTACCTTTTCGAAAAAAGTCTCAAAAATAAGCGGTTTGCGATCGTGATTTTACTTTACTTAATAGGGAAAGGCGTACCGGCAACAACGCAACAGCACACTGTCGCATTTCTGTCACTCCGACTTAATGAGATCCCTATGCGATTTACTTCCACACATGTAAATACCGACCCAAAAGTAACAGTTGCCGGCACGGTATGCATGTGAATCGTGGACACTCAATGCAACGGAAAATTCGAAGCTATAAATTATTTGGAAAAGGAAACTATTGAGGAAGATTTTTGGAGAAAAGAAGATAGTCAACATATGGTGGACCAGAAATAAAACAACTGTATCGTTTACCGTTATAGAGCAAGTAGAGTAGCAAGAGCACAACGACTGAGATGGCTAGGTCATATTGAAAGAACGGCTGAAACAAGAGTAGCTAAAATGATAAGAGGTGAAATATGTGGAAAAAGAAGAAGTGGTAGAAGATGAAAAAGGAATGTTGAAGAGGACTTGAGAAGGATAAAAGTTAATTAATCAAGCCAGAGCTTTTTAAACTTTTGAGCTATTTTATATTTTCACCTAATGCATTTTGTAGTTTTATCATTAAGTTAAAAAATAAAAAAATAAACATTTTCAAGAGCAAACGACATTTGGTTATTGTTAACTCGAAGACACCCTGTATTTTTACTCACACCTTGCGTCACTAATTAATTCAAGTTGTAAATTAAAACAATTATCAATTGATGTGCTATTAACCTTTATAACGTCCGGTATAGGTCATTATATTAGATTTAAATTTTTCTGAAAATTCAATGACAAGATATTAATAGCAATTCCAGCAGCTGCCAATCCTTGAATAAAATATAGCGTTTTGAAATATAAAATAGTCATCAATGAAACAGAGCATTTATTTTTTAAACAACACTGTCCTTTCATAAACAAATCCGTAATTATGGTAAACAAATTATCAGTGAAGATACTACGCAATTTTCATTCAAAGGTTTAAATAATTTATTAATCTATTTTTTTATTAATTATATGGTGAGATTATGTTTTAACAATGATTGAAATATATATTTCATACCAATTAAACTTTTAGTGAGGTAATCGGTGGGCGCGATTTTTAAATTCATTTTTGCCAACCATGGAAATATTCGGCGCCGAGCTGGCTAACTGGAATTTAAATTTCCCGCTAGGAATTTAGGTGGTAGTTCTGTTGTAAAAAGTGTCAAGTTGCCACATTTATTTTTATTTATTTCCTGGCATTGTCATTCGTTTTGACATTTTAGTTTTGTATTACGAGTTTTTGGTTTAAATATATAGAGTTGCGATATTTTTTTTTTACTAGCAGACCTTGCAGTCGAACATTGTTCTTTTTAGAATCTCTTTTAGCGCGAAGTGTACAACATAGCTTAATAGCCGTAAAAAATTCTTACCAACTTCTTTAGAATATTTTGAATACATACATTTGTGTCCCTTAAGGGCTGTTAAGAAGGTGAGTTTTGTTGATGTAAATAACAACTGTTTATATAATTTATAATTACTTTATTTTTGTTTCTTACAATATTTTGATTAAAAGAAAATATGTAAAAGTGGGCAACACTGTGCCGGTCAAGCTTAATCACGTGACTAAAAGTCTATTTGATATAAATTTAAATTCGTTTTCGATAATTATCTTAGACTAATCAAAAAGCGATGAGAAATAAACGGATTTAATCTCTGAAAGTTTTTTAAGTTAATTATTGAATAAGTGTATTAAAAAATATAGGTTAGGTTACTTGGTCGTAATAAATTTTGATAATAAAAGGCACATTAAGGTATCATAAAGTAGATTTAGACAAAAAATAATTGTTGGAAGGTATCAAATTTTTAAATAAAATACATTTGGAGATAGTAGTAAGATTAGTAAGAAGTTCTATACATATTTTTTTCTCAAAATTGCGGTTCTGTATTGATCTATAGTATTGATTTAATGTTACTTCGTCGTTTACGTTCATTTCTAGTCTTATTGTGAATGCCGGATATTCCCTTTCTATTTTGAACACTGTAGTTACACAAAAAATAAGAATATATCAATATCACAAATAACAAAGTTAAAACTTGTGTAAATTTTCAAGAACAAAAGAAAAGCCACAAAATACGTCATTGAATTGGTATAATTTACTGAAATTTTTGATGAATTACTTTTTTTAAATCAGTACCAATCACCACTCCTAAAATTCCCTAACACAATATTGCCAACTATTTCAATAATTCCATATAGAATATTATCAGGAAAGTATATAAATAACTACATTATTATCATGAATGATTTATAAATAACAAAGAATTTTAAAGTGATTATCATAAATTAAATACAAAAACAAAAAATGTTTGAAGGAAGTTAAACCATATCTTGTATCTAAGTTAATACTACTATCAAGGTAATGAGCGATTATTAATAAATTAAATGCCAGCAAGCTAGTAATGAACAAAACGAAACAGAAAAAAAACTACTCTGAGGTTAGTTAGTACACTCGACTCTCTCTTTCTACAGTGATCTACCTACACGTGGTTAGGACAAGGACAGCGTTTGTAGACCGTGATAGTGTTCGTTCCCTTCATGCAGAACAGCGCTAAGCACATATTTACACCTCGAGAAAACTATGAGAAAATTCTTCTATTAATTTTCTTTTGTTCGAACTGTGAATTTTAAACACCCATCGATATGCGACGCTCTTTAATATCACGAGAATATTAATAGACT